TAGGGCCGAAAGAACTCGAGCCGATCTCGAGGCATCTCGAAGTAATTCTGACCTCACTTGGTAAGCAACTTTGAGACATTTCTGAGCGTCGCGAATCCTTTACTTGGCATTCCGCCCAAGTAACTAGTGCATGATTTTATAGCTATTTTTCACATTACAAACTACCTTGGGTCGCAGTCGCGCAATCGGCTAATCCCTCAACTTAGATCTGACGCGTCGCAGGTGAGTCGGTTTAAACCCAGGGAGAGCCAAAAATGATAATTATTTCCTCACACTAAGTGGTTAATTATTTCTTTCTCAAATAAATTAAGAATTCGAAGTGATCTCGAGATATCTTGAACAAATTCCGCTCTCACTTCGTCAAATAACTAACTCAAACCGAAAACTCTCTGAATTTGCTTGCCCAAGAAAAGCAACTTTAGGAAATTCTTGAGGGTCGCGAGTCCTTTACTTGGCGCTCTGCCCAAGTAATTAGTAGTGTTAAACAGGTGTACCACAAAAAAGGACTGTTTTGGGACTAGTCCGATGACATCTCTCTAGGTAGCTTTGATTATATACACTCAATAAACTTAAATTAGAGTCAGAGTAATGGTTTAATTTACACTTACATATATAGTTTCACGCAGTTGGCAGTTAATTGGTAGTTCCAATCTACACCTGTAAAAATCTTTTCCATTGTCTTCGATCTTATAAACTGGGTTGAGACAAGTGAATCTGTCACCTGGCAGCTTTGAACAGTACCTGAAGAACAGAGATGGACACAAAGATTGAAACAATGTAGTTCAACGTAATAAAACGAGAAAAATGCACGCAGAGGCATTGACACAAAGGTTGGCTGCTTGAAGAATCATTTTTTTCCCCAGCACTTCTATTCCTAAGCGTGTTTATCGAATGTTTACCGGAATCGCAGAAGCTTTGGAAATGGTGCTGCTGACATAAGAGAATGCTGGAACGTTTCTGCGCCTGAGACTGAGCAGAGAAAGCTGTTGTTACCTGGATAGGAGGGAAACACTGCTGTTCATAGTGACTCTTGCTCCTTGACCAAGGATGTAAGGAGATAAGAAAGTGTCCGCGTCCGCTACCTCGTCACACTCCTCCTTAGTAGGTTCAGCACGGCCATGACACATCTTCGATAGGTACTCCTCAAATTCAGTCATTGCCTGACAGATTTAGAGCAATACTCTGTTACCTTAAGCTGATTATTAGTCTCAGAAAAGGGGATATACTTTTTTATTTTTGTTATATTTTTATTTTTCACGAGACGGAAACTTTAAAACCGAGTTTTCAAACCGCTGACTGTAAACACTCGTCTCCAGAGCGGGACGTTTCCAGGGGGATACCATTATAAAAATAACGAGGAGCTTTTCAGAAAATTTGTGGGCGCGACTTAAATTCGCAGTTTGAACCTTGAATTTTCTACGTACTTGCGGATGCATTGACAATCAGTTTTCGATAGCGTCAAGGACTATTCTTTTGTCGAACAAATGGTACCCTTCATGTTGTGGCTAGGTGCTGCGTCCATTCCACTCTGAGTGGGGCCAATCCACAAATTTTACGCTCCCACCCCAATTTTTTGGAAAAAGTACTTCCCGGGGGAGGTTGCGCGTTCGATCCTCAATTCCAGACACGATTACAAGGCCTTAATAAAACTGATGAAAAAGGTAGCGCCTTTGCTTTGTAGGGGACTATTTTTATGGCTCAGGTGACCATGCACGAAGAAGTGGCGGCCCCGTCACCAGCAGAGGATGTTATCTATCTTTGAAAAATGATGTCATACCTATGTAAGGTTGCATCATGCGGTAGTACACTCCCCAGACCTTGGTGAAATCCATACCGCTGTCTAAGAACACTGCACCAGCCACGGACTCAAAAATATCACCCAGGACCTTGGGAGCTTCAATCCCTTCTTCGTCTGATACGATGATAAATGGGTCTGCAATTCCCTATTAATTGTAAAAAAAGATCGTTTCGTCCATCTTTTTCCCGTAACCTTTGCTAAATTAACCCTGAAGATTCATCCGGAACCACAATAATTTAAACAAGGGAATTCGGGATAAAGATGTTTACCTAAGAATCCAAATGAAGTCCTGAATTATTTTCAGGCTTAATTTGCAATAACTGAAATTGCGATTACAACTGCGTCGGCAATATCTTCATTTAGATATTTCAGTCTCGTTTAACCATTACCAGCGTTCGTCACCTTTAGCAAGCTCTTTTTCTCTATACCTAGTGTCAACTAGCCTGCGTAGCTTGGCGGTTTTGGTCGAGCGCGCAAACAAGCCAAGGAGGGGGTAGTGAAACTGCAGTAGTGCGCTCGACAAAACCGCCATGCTAAGCAGGCTAATTTTCAACCACCATCGAATCAAACTTGTCTTGTAACAGATAAAGTGAAACCTGTATTAAGTGGACACCCTGTACTCAGCAGACGAAAAGCTCATTTCTTCCAATATCTTAAGTAAAACGAACCTGTATTTAGCGGACACCAGCGAAGGTACCGTAGGTGTCCGCCTAATACAGGTTTCACTGTAGAGATACGTTGCGCGTTTTACTGGATCAAGACAAACTTGTTTTGTACCAGAGACGTCACTCCCGCGTTCTTTCATTCAGTCAGAGGTCGGTTTTCACGCACATTGCAACAACCTGAATCTGAGAATCTGAGAATCTGATTTGTTACAAGACAGGTTTTAACGTGGGTGGTAAAACCAGCAACATCGCTTTTCGAAGCGTTTTGCAGCAACGTTGCAAAACAAGTTGCACATTTTTGTTACCCGTTTTACCGTAACTTATAGTGACACTCCACAATAATAAAAAAGGGCCAGTAGTATCTGTAAGAAACATTACTGCCCGGACCAAAAAATTGGGCCGGGGACCTGTTTTTCCAGCTAAGATGAATGGGATTATTTGGACAGCTAACATAAGCTGTGATTGGTAAGAGTTACCTAAGGAAACCATCGTACCTATCACAGTTAACATTGATTACCCAAACGATTACATAAATTGTAGCGCCACGAGCTGTTACCCAGTGTTCTTTAAAGTGTCTGGAAAAGCGAATTTCAAAAAGCTGATTGGCTTGGATCATAACGCGTACGATCCAACCCTAGTTTAGAGGGATTTATAAAATCATCTCCCCACCAATGTGCACCAACAAACTTATTTTTAGCACGTTGGCATTTTTTTATCTTTTTCTTTCAAGATATGCCAACCACTCCCATAATTTCACAAATTTAGCTTTTGTGACGTCATCACTTCTCGCCTCTATAGTCATCCCCAGAAACGCTCGGTAATGGGAAAATAAGAGACCTTACTTTAAACAACCGTGCTAACGCGGGGGTTTAATCAATGAAGAAATGTTTTTGCACAAGTCACTAAGACAATTACATGATTTCGTTTAGCCGAAAATATTTTTTTTTCGGTGAGCATTTCCGTTTTCCCACATGAAATTTCTCGTGAAATTTCTCCTTGATAAAATGTTCCTGAAAGTCTAAGTCTCTTCAATTTATAAGGATAAAAAAATTTAGAAGAGCGAAAGAAAGAATCAAACCCGGAGCGTAGTGTCTGCAGTTCATCACCTATACCACTACCCCACTGAGGATTTGCTGACGACCATTGGTTTTATTTGAAGAATGAAATAGAAGCTAACAGTTTCTCGAGTCAATGCTTAACCGTAATCAGTATTGATAGTCAATGCGGTTCCTTCCTTTGTAGAGGATTACTTTGTGCATGAATCAAGGTGCGTCAACTTCATTTTAGAGTATGGAGATGAGTATTAACCATTGCGTAATAAGCTCTACTTACCAGATCAATATTTTCTTCTTTCTCGTCTTCCAGTCTAGTGATAAAATTTGCGATGGATTTAAACAATTCTGGAGACATCTGCTTCAAATACTTGTTATACTCGTATTTCACAGCAATGGCTGCAAAGATGTTATTATTCACCAAAGCCTGGCGAATATCCGTCAGCTCACCAGGAGACAAGTTTTCTTGACGGAAGTATATATGTTGTGTTNGCCTGGCGAATATCCGTCAGCTCACCAGGAGACAAGTTTTCTTGACGGAAGTATATATGTTGTGTTACCAGGAAATCCAACAAGGCGTCTCCAAGGAACTCCAGTCTTTGATAACAGGGCGTGATTCGGTTAGCCTGATACGATGCGTGTGTCAAAGCTTCCACCAGATACGATATGGAATTAAAATTGTACTTAATAGTGTTCTCAAAATTCCCCAACCCAGAGACCATCCGTGACGGCATATCTCTGATATCTTGGCTTTGGTTAGCTCCTGAGTTGTTTTCTTCCTGAGGCCAAAATACTGCATAACACCCTTTTCTTCTATTTTTAGCGAGCTCACAAATGTCCGCTTTATCATCGCCAGGGAGAACCTTTAGACCCAGGAACTTCATAAAGCGTAGTGCTCCGGTGTAACCACAGCAGATCAAATACGCTCCAATGAGAGCTTCCATGCTGTCAGCAACAGACTTGTCTGCTATCTCCTGAGTGTTAGCCTTGTCTCGTCTGCTTCCTAAGCCCTGATCTTCCGTGTTGCCGGCATCATCTACTTCTTTTTCGGGAGGTTCTGAATTATCCCTCACCTCAACGACTTCCATTGCTGTAACACCCGATTCGTCGCTACTTTTCTGACATCCCGTGGGACACCACACATCACGTGCAAGTTCCGTGCTCTGTTGGAACCCTGATAGAGATGTCTTTTTAGCTGCTCGAAACAGCGCCAAATTGCTTATCTGTCTTATCTTGCGCTGCGTTAGTTTCCCTTCACCTTTTTCGCGGTAAGTGCAATAGAGGTGAAGTGAAACTGCCAGCTTTAAGAAAGTGTCTCCGAGCATCTCAAGTCTTTCTAGATTAAAGGCGTCTTTACTGTGGGTGGTGGTCAAAGCTTGAAGCACAAACGCGGAGTCGGGATGAACAGCAGCTCTTTTTCCACTGAACAGTTTTTTTAAGTCTGAAAACAGCGCTGGAAAGTCATCAACATCGTCATCACTGTCATCGCTATAATCCTCATGACCCACGTCCATCTTTGATGTGAAGCTGTCCTTATTAGTACGGAGTAAACTCTCTTCATCGCGAGAATCACCAGCACCAATTGAGGGGAGTGAAGATTCACCTCTGTCGTCACGCACTCCAGCGACCATTTCCTTGACATCACCAACAAGCAGAAGCGCGTTCACACGATGTAAAATTGAGGGCAGCATCAGAGACACACCGAGAAGGGAAGCAGAAATAGGCAGTACGTTGCATAGTTCGGGGAAAAGACCAATACCGTCGCTCTTACTCTTGGCTGCCACCTTTCTGTTCACCAGGAAATTCACCCTTTCGGAAATGCCTTTTACTTCAATGAGAGGCTGTTCCATGGTTGTAAAAGACTTTCCGTAATGCTTCTGGAAGTAGCCTTCATACGTCTTGGCTTTGGATTTGTCTGGGAAGGGAGACGTAGGACTCAAATCATGGCGCACTCTTAAAACCGCAAATTTTTGTCGAGACTCCGTGTAATTTTTCGAGACCACCATATCAACGTCAATCTTGCTGGATTCACCGGTTGACCACTCCTGTGAAGTTTGCCTTGTTAACGTATGGCGCATAGAATCATAGTCCACGTCAAATCCATCACTTTTTGTCAGAACTACAAAATAACCATCTGTACTGCCGTCGGACCCTTTGGGTCTGAGTTCCACGGGCTCGCAAAGAACTTGGCTGAACAAGAAACAGTGAAATTTTTGAACAGTTTTCAAGTCTTGTCTTGCAATCGGTGCGTTCAGCAGTGACTTGTGACATTTCAATGTTATTCTGACCTCCCCGTAGTCGGGATAAAGCTTGAATGATCTTAGCTGTAGATTTAATCAATCGTTAATGAGCTGGTTAGTCACGCGGTTTCTTCCTGGAGAACAAGAAACGACTGGCACAAAGCAGACAAAGGGATTTACTATTTGAAATTAAGGCTATTAGGCCAATGACCAGATTTTAATACCATCAACGGACAGTAAACAACTCACTTTGAGTTTTATGATGACTTGCACCTGCCAACTACTTTTAACAACATTCCATTTCAGGATTACACTCCCCCGGACGATCATATTTTATCTACTTATGGAAGCTCTTTGCTTGTATTTTCCCAGTGGATTTCTTGCCCTCCAGCAAGGCGTTTTTTGTACCACGTGAATGACCAGCTGCAAAGGGCTCATCGATCAATTAATCAATCAATGATCAATCAAAATCAAGTTTTTTCACCTATCAGATTCAGGGTCAGTATTTTGTCTAAAGAAGCACATGGTAATAACTTCGGTTCTCTATTTTATTCACAGTTTTAAACTGTGAAGGTGTTGAATTAAGTTAAGTTGTTATTCCTACTTCTGTAGAAGGAAACCTAGACTGTGACCGTTCAAATGAAACATTTTCCCCGCAATGCTATTTATTAACCTTTATTTTCGAAAATGAAATTTTTTTCAGACTTTTCTGACACTCTCGAGGATGAATAGTATGCACAAAACTCTTAACAAACCTCATCACACCCTGAAGAATGAACGTGTTACCAAACGAAAATCAAAGAATTAATATCTCAAGGAAAAATTATATTCCGGAGTTACAGAGTGACTGAATTATAACTCACCTCTGGAATTGGAAAATTTGTCAATAAACCAAACAGGTGGCAGACACCATCTTTAAAGTATCGCTGGCTCACATCAAGACCCTGGCGGCTGGTGAGTTTGGTGATAGTCATAGTGATAGCCGTGAGGTACTGGGACTGATTCTCCTGTGGCAAGCTACCTCTGAATACCTGAGGGACCTAGTTAAGTGAAAATGAATAAAAGAGTTGTATAGTGCGCATATCAAAGACGTAAGTCATATCGTGGCACTCAACATGTACTTATGAGAATGACATTGTATGTAAGTGTAGGGGTGTGTTCGAGCAACTCGGTCCCTACACGATGAGGTACCAGGTATCTGATTTACATCTTGGTATCAATCTTAATCTTAATCTTCTTATTCTTCTTCTCTTCTCAATCCTTACTCTTAACCATTGTAACTGGAGCAAGAGCAGTGATCGCTAGGGAGGAGGTTGAGTCAAACAAGCATCGCTTATCTCATGCGCCATATTTGTTATGCGCCTGGGGCTAGATTGATTGCATCACAACCAATAGGTCCTTCGCAGCTAGTCATTCAGATTGCACAAAAACGCCTAGCCGGAAAACTAGAAATGCACATAAGACAAGACGAACAAAGAACGTACTTCACCACTCGAAACAATGTTAGTATTGTTTGTTTGTTTTGTTCGAGTGACTTGAGAGTGCAATTCTTGCTATCCAACAAAGTGTTTTTGGACCGCATGAATGACCTGCCCGGNTGGCGGCTGGTGAGTTTGGTGATAGTCATAGTGATAGCCGTGAGGTACTGGGACTGATTCTCCTGTGGCAAGCTACCTCTGAATACCTGAGGGACCTAGTTAAGTGAAAATGAATAAAAGAGTTGTATAGTGCGCATATCAAAGACGTAAGTCATATCGTGGCACTCAACATGTACTTATGAGAATGACATTGTATGTAAGTGTAGGGGTGTGTTCGAGCAACTCGGTCCCTACACGATGAGGTACCAGGTATCTGATTTACATCTTGGTATCAATCTTAATCTTAATCTTCTTATTCTTCTTCTCTTCTCAATCCTTACTCTTAACCATTGTAACTGGAGCAAGAGCAGTGATCGCTAGGGAGGAGGTTGAGTCAAACAAGCATCGCTTATCTCATGCGCCATATTTGTTATGCGCCTGGGGCTAGATTGATTGCATCACAACCAATAGGTCCTTCGCAGCTAGTCATTCAGATTGCACAAAAACGCCTAGCCGGAAAACTAGAAATGCACATAAGACAAGACGAACAAAGAACGTACTTCACCACTCGAAACAATGTTAGTATTGTTTGTTTGTTTTGTTCGAGTGACTTGAGAGTGCAATTCTTGCTATCCAACAAAGTGTTTTTGGACCGCATGAATGACCTGCCCGGCGATGGTGCTGGTCTTTGTCAGTACATGTTAAAAACTGGATCTTTGCCTTTACCTTTCTTTCATAAACTCGCATTTGTTTCTTTGGTCCTCCTTTCTTTCTCTTCTTTCCACTAACCCCTTCGTCTTCGTCCTCCAATTCACTTTCCTCGTCTGATAAACTGCGCACTGGTAACAGATTATCATCAAGCTCACCAATCTCGTGAAGTTTTTTGCAGGCTTCGAGAGCGGCGGCCATTTTAGCCAGGTTTTTTCGTGGCATCGGAACGCTCTGTTAGGAAATAAATTGTCCAATTTTATTTAGGTTATCGCGATCTCTTTTATAGCGATGATTAAAAAAACTTGCGGCATAATTGCACCAAAAATGTTGCATTTGAAATCAATCTCGTCAACGTTAACGTCTGTTTTCAAATGCAATGAAAAAACAAGACGCTATCGGAGCGTACACTTGGGCGTCGTGGTATCACGCATAAGTGAGGATTTTTTGTGTCAGGCACGTGTGACTGAGACCTGTAGCCATAGTGGACGTTGCTTGATATGTAAATAGCTCGAATTTTCAAATTTAATGAAAGCTGTGCCTAGTAAAATGAGGAAAAAAGATAGAAAACTCAAAAGATTGCTCAAGATATCCAAAAGCATCACGTCGAACTACATGGGAAAACGAAACTGCAATATCCTAAGTTTTGGCTACGTGGAGGTCAGCGGTTACAATTGCGTTATGACTTGGATGGTTGCCCACTTCATTTTTGGCCTTCGAACGACGCGACGGTAAATTCGATGCACACTGGATGTATACGATGCAAACAACAACAAAAACTTCAAAGCCTTTCCTTGATAATTTCAGAAGACCACAAATGATCGATCTTTGAAGCAAGCGAACCAACGCCTGTAGCCGTTGTGGCCATCGTTTAAATTAACAAAACCAGAAGTCAAGATAGCGGCAAACAAAGTAATTTTCACCACTTGCTCCGTTTTAAAACATTTTACCGTTTCAATCATTTTCAATTGAGCCAAGCGATTATTTTTGTCCCTTTTCTTCCATTTCCCGCAAGAAACTCACCAGTGGACAAACTACACCAGGTCGCGGTGGCGCAATCGGGTAATCCGTCAACTCAGATCTGATCTGACAGATCGCGGGTGAGTCGGTTCAAACACCGGGTATAAAAAAGCCAAGATAAAAAAGTTATTTATTCCTCGAATATATTTAAATATCTATTAGGGCCGAAAGAACTCGAGCCGATCTCGAGGCATCTCGAAGTAATTCTGACCTCACTTGGTAAGCAACTTTGAGACATTTCTGAGCGTCGCGAATCCTTTACTTGGCATTCCGCCCAAGTAACTAGTGCATGATTTTATAGCTATTTTTCACATTACAAACTACCTTGGGTCGCAGTCGCGCAATCGGCTAATCCCTCAACTTAGATCTGACGCGTCGCAGGTGAGTCGGTTTAAACCCAGGGAGAGCCAAAAATGATAATTATTTCCTCACACTAAGTGGTTAATTATTTCTTTCTCAAATAAATTAAGAATTCGAAGTGATCTCGAGATATCTTGAACAAATTCCGCTCTCACTTCGTCAAATAACTAACTCAAACCGAAAACTCTCTGAATTTGCTTGCCCAAGAAAAGCAACTTTAGGAAATTCTTGAGGGTCGCGAGTCCTTTACTTGGCGCTCTGCCCAAGTAATTAGTAGTGTTAAACAGGTGTACCACAAAAAAGGACTGTTTTGGGACTAGTCCGATGACATCTCTCTAGGTAGCTTTGATTATATACACTCAATAAACTTAAATTAGAGTCAGAGTAATGGTTTAATTTACACTTACATATATAGTTTCACGCAGTTGGCAGTTAATTGGTAGTTCCAATCTACACCTGTAAAAATCTTTTCCATTGTCTTCGATCTTATAAACTGGGTTGAGACAAGTGAATCTGTCACCTGGCAGCTTTGAACAGTACCTGAAGAACAGAGATGGACACAAAGATTGAAACAATGTAGTTCAACGTAATAAAACGAGAAAAATGCACGCAGAGGCATTGACACAAAGGTTGGCTGCTTGAAGAATCATTTTTTTCCCCAGCACTTCTATTCCTAAGCGTGTTTATCGAATGTTTACCGGAATCGCAGAAGCTTTGGAAATGGTGCTGCTGACATAAGAGAATGCTGGAACGTTTCTGCGCCTGAGACTGAGCAGAGAAAGCTGTTGTTACCTGGATAGGAGGGAAACACTGCTGTTCATAGTGACTCTTGCTCCTTGACCAAGGATGTAAGGAGATAAGAAAGTGTCCGCGTCCGCTACCTCGTCACACTCCTCCTTAGTAGGTTCAGCACGGCCATGACACATCTTCGATAGGTACTCCTCAAATTCAGTCATTGCCTGACAGATTTAGAGCAATACTCTGTTACCTTAAGCTGATTATTAGTCTCAGAAAAGGGGATATACTTTTTTATTTTTGTTATTCTAAAACATTTTGAGACTATAAACACAGTTTTATATTAAGCCGCTCGTTTACTGTAACGTCCTCACGGTTTTCCGTTTAAGTTTTATGGAAAACGTTAATATTTTTTTGTACCCGAAAGAGTACCCAGTCCACCCACCGATATCCCTGAATCGGTAAGCCTTACGTTTCATGCAGCAGAAATCAATAAGGAAGACGATGACTTGTTACCACTTCTTTTGCTTGGAATTATGGACGGGAATTAAGGCGCACGAGAACACGATGTTCTCGAAAACCTTAACTGCCCCTTTCCCTTTCCCTATATGAGCCTTCCACGCAGGCTAAAGGAAACAAAAAACCGTTGTATGCGCGACGTATTTTTACATCGTAAGAACACTCAGAATCATCAGAATAGTCACATTCATGTTGCCTTTGAAAACTGATTATCTACCTGTAATTCGTCTGTTTTTTTCTCATACTCCTCTTCATCTACAAAGATATAATAGCTGGAATCCTTTGCTCGAGCACGACCCTTTGACTGGACATAAGAGCGGAAGGTCTTTGGAAAATCAAACCGACAAACGACGTTACACTTTGGAATGTCTATTCCTTCCTCGACTACACAAAGTGGCAATCAGAAGGTTGAATTTATGTCGCCTAAACTGCCTCAGAACCTCCTTTTGCTTCTTGCAATCCATTTCTGTTTCATTGGAGTGATAAGCCTTTCCAACGGTGCCATGTCCAACCACAAAGTTGCATTTGATGAAGGAGAGCTCAGGATGTAAGTCTGCAGCATCGTTGATCAGCTCACTAAGTACCAGAGCTGTGTATCGCTTTTCTACAAACACTATGCCACAGAACTCGTCCTCTGTAGAAAAATTAATAACATAATTAATATTCATTTAACATTGATATTAATGTTGTTACGCCAATTATTTAGCGTCAGCGTTGTTGAAGAGCTCTGTTCTTTTTACTTGGAAGCAGATTCAGAGTCGATCACAAGTTGCTTCTTCAAACCCATGGTAAATAGATTGGAGATTTATTCTTGGCGGTGAAGCGTAAGTAGAAATTGTGGGCTAAGGAGCCAAGGACTATTAAGCTCCTTCCATATTTCACAAAATACCATCAATGGCATTTCTATCATTTCCCAAATTATAGCAACCTTATACAACAAACTTTTGAAACCTAATATGATGGACTCAACCTACAATCTACGAAATACGAGTGATTTAGAAAATCTACCACGTGTATAGATCACTTGAGCAAATCCTACCAAATGATATCAAATACAACCTTGTTTTGAAGAAGGCCTCAAATGGTGGATGGGGTACAACATGAGCTTGCCTTTTAATGGTGAGGGCAGGGTTAAGGGAAGAGACTGAGATTGTGAAGGGTTAGGGTAGGTAATTTTTCAGGATTTCCTTTGCCTCAAATACGAGTTACGTGTCAGATATCAACAAGATTTTGTTTCTTTCAAAAGGGCGGAACCGTATATTTTAAGATGACAAATATATTAGGGATGTTTTAGATGTATGTTGCAAGTATGCGATTACCTTTCAAACTCTTACCACTGTTTTGTGAATTCCCACATTCGCTTAAAAGAGACAACAGCCTCTGTAGTTTAGGCATGATGTAAAACTCTTTAGTGTTGCCAGTATCTTCACTGCCAGTAGATGTGTAATTGTGATAAACACTTTGTAGTAGTCGCAGCTGAGTTGCACTAAACTCACAAAACATTCGTCCTTCCTTGCTGGCATCAAATATGTGCGCTCTGTCTATGAAAGTTTTGGAGTCAGACATTTGACTAATTTTACCCTTATTTTTGTTGTTGTTATGATTCAGTGTGGTTAATTACTAAAGAGTCGTAAGTAGGTTAGGACTTACCTTTCCTAGCTTCGGAAAAAATATTTGCAACAAAAATTAGCCATGCTAAAGTGATTCATGCATGTGAGCAGTGGCAAACATAAAACAGATAAACTGACATCATTTCCATGGAAATGAATCAAGGGTCACATTTATGGGTTGATTTAGTTTTTGAATACTCTAACCACGTTGGCGTTGTACGGCTAATACAACAGAGCGCAGGGTCCAATCTTACTGTCAATGTAAATCTGTCCCTGACATTTTGCCAAATTAAGAATTCTGTTCGAAATAAGCTGGTCAAGACGTGTTCTGGTCATTTTCTGTCCTTACTGAAGTAAAACCACCCAATTATTATTCACAAGTCGAGCACTTAATGCTCACTTTTGTTTCTGAAGCGAAATTATAGCTTTCAAAGTTCGGATAAGTGCAGCTAAAAGGCAAAATTTTGAGTTGATATGCTCCTTTTATTTTGGTTTCCCCACTCTTTTCTTTTCCCTGGGAACTAACCACGCTTTATTTCAAGAGGGTACAGCTGGTTAGTGGAACAAAATGTTCATTGGATTGTCTGGCAAAAAATACAATTGTTGCGTATGGTTTTAGAGATCTCTTTTTCCCTGAAAACGTTAGGTATCTAAGTTTGCAATGACCATTCAACCATCTCATTAATACTAGTGTGACAACATGAATATTATTTTAACGGATGGCAGTAAACCTTTTTACCTAACTTAAAGAAAAAGAAAACTTTTAAACCTGCATCACCCAAATGAGCACTATTTTGTGAGAGTGCGGCATTGTTTTGAGATGAGGCTTCAAGATGGGTTGAGCTGTGTCTGATAGTAGTAATGTGACTACTTGCATTTGTTAGGGAAGTCAACCTTGGCACTTTTTAAGGTCCCAATTGTGTTTTTAAATTTTCCTTATTTATTCAGAAAATATCAAGCCTAGTTACACACTGAAGACCATACCTGCTAGATCCTTGATTAAGCATCCTGCAACTTTGTTGGCAGCCCAGGGACCTAATTCTTTCAGAGTCTCTTGGCATTCTCGCAGTGCACGCTTTGCAAACTTGAGAGCTTTCTGTAATGAACTGTCGTGATCCTCCTTATTAATTAGAAAGTCACCAAGAAACTCCCTGCCTGGATTTAAAATATCTTGAAGTATCTGAAGCAAAACGTTTGTGCTGTCTTCAATGGAGGTGGCATTTGAAAATTTTATGACCATCTCCTTTGGTTTTGCAGCAAACCTCCCAACTTCTTCATCTTGGCTTGTCTCACACGTTGACCTCAGTGTGCATTCCAGCTTTCGTATTTCTGATTCAATGTTCAATTGCTTTAAATTTTTATTTATTACTGATGCTGTTAGACCCATGATCTTTGGACAGTCGGTTTTTTCGCAGTCTCCAAAAAACTCCGTGATCTGCTTGTATGGATGACTCTTCTTGGCATGATGGCATTCATCAAAGATCAGAAGATTCACTTGTGAAAGTTTGATGTAACCATGGAGTAGAAGGTTGAGAAAAATCTGCGCGGTCATGACCAAAACACTGTTTTCACTGAACTCTTTTTCCCATTCATTTTTGTCCCAGACGTCGACTCCCATCGCACCAACGTAATTCCTCACCTTCAAATCTGTGTGGATGTGAATCACCTTTTCTTGCTGAATGGCTAAAGGAACTTTGGAAAGTATTAGAAATGTGAGGTTACAACAGCCTTACAAAAAAGAGGATCACATAAAAGTATGTGAAATGAATGTATATGAGTGGACGTTTTGGTAAATTCCTCCAACATTTTAGTTGGGGCAAATGTGGTCTTGGATGTAGCTTCAAAGAAAAATACTTACTGCTCAGCAACTTTCATCAATTTTGATTGTTTATCCTATGACAATTCCAGACCATATTCGAAATAGAACATTGCAAGCTTAAAAAATAACCGACAATAGCTACTAGGTAAGCTGGCTTCTCTTTAATGTTTGGAGCAAATTGTGCGAAAAAAACAAAACTGAATCCGAATGACGGTCCAAAGATTTCAGAACATAAACAAAAAAAGAGAGCCTAGTTAACAAATTACTGGTTTGCAGCTGACCTCACTGCGGCCATGTTGGTGGACAAGAAGAAAAGCGCTTCCCCGCGCTGAAAACAAATCTTTTCTTCAGGAAGATTCTACGAAAAATTCTACGAAAAAAGTTATGTTTTTTCAATTAACATGGCCGCCTTGTCACTTGGTTGAAAATGTAGAAAAGGCCTTATTCAATAATAGCCATAAAACTCTTTGTTTTTCAGACTTCGTCGTGAGTCTCACGATTTTAGGACCTGTCTCACGCTCGCACTGATTGGTAACTGATTTCTAACGCTTTCTCGAAAAGTCAAACTCCAAAAATGTTTGGGCTGTTGGGTTCGTTTCCAAGTTAGATGTCGATAGATAGCAAGCTCAACCCAACGAAAACGCTTAGCGGTCGCATTTGATTACATTAGGGACCTTAGGATCCGAGGACGGCGACAGCAGAGAAAACGTCACTGAAAAAGTGAATTCGCGTTCTTTCAATCTTCTTCGCGGTTACTCCAAGTCACTAACTTTGTTAAATGTAGGCGAACCCTCCTAAAGTTGAATTTGTAAGAACCATATCCAAGTTCAGAAAGAGGGAGGAAATTTTGTCGTCGCTTGTGTACTTCCTCTGTACAACGTGAAGTTAAGCATTTTCACGTCGTAGTCGTGCAGTGATGGCAAAGAAATGAACAAAAAAGCGTGATGATGCAAAATTGTTGTTTTGGTTATTAAACCTATTGCGTTTGTGGCGTTCCCGTTGCCGTCGCCGTCGTTGGATCTTAAGGAGGATGACTCGCAATCCGGCGGTCCCGGGTTCGAGTCCCGTTTTGGCCACTTGCTGGATTTGTGCTCGGTCGTCCCGAGTTTAAATTCTCGACCACGCTTGTAAATAGCCAACTGGTTGCCTTCTGCCAGTTGGGGTTTTTAATCCTGTTATGTTGTATTTGAATTATTTGTTTCTAAATATTTGAGTGGAGTGCCTGTAAATTAGCTGACTAGCTAAGTGCAAGCACCTTCCACTATAAACATGCCTTTAACCTTTTTTTTTTTTTAAGGTCCTTATTCTTTTAGCCTACCGCGACTTGCCGCTGCCAACAAATGTGCAGACTTGGACTTCCTGTTTCGCTTTTTTCAAGATGGCACCAAACATAGAAATTACAAAACCTAAATCGTAAAATTGATCGTGATGTTTACTGCTTCAGCTTTAAAGCGATATAGTGACTTCCAATACCCATAGTCTCCACTGAAAGTCCTTTTACTAGGAAATTTGGGACATCTCATGACTTTTTACCCGGCATTTCTCACTACTTTTCCCAGCTCTAGGTTCAGAATCTCATATTTTTTGCCTTTGGGGGGTTTGTAAGACTTGCAATACAAGTCTGGTTTTTCCTCGAAAATTATGAATAAGCCTGCTTCCTGATTTCTCTTGTGACGATTGCAAGACCCTAGAGAATTGAAAACACTGCTTATGCAAAATTGGGGAGGGAAAACATTTAGCAATTATTGAATGAGGCTGAGTAGGATGTGAAGAATTATGCAGATCCATGAGGATGTTATCCATCTCGGCCTGCATAATTCTTCACATCCTACGAAAGCTGAATTCAAAAATTGTTTTATTATTCATTCAAAATTTTCCTAAGTTCTAAACATGATCACCTCCTCGTAGACTTTCTACAAACCTTTGGCCTATTTCTCTGCACGGTTTCAAAAACAAGTGTTTTTCCTTGCAGATACTCCTCAAGCGATATGTTTAGCCTGTACACAGACGTTTTATTTTTCTTTTCGTTCTTTTGGAGAACATTGGCGTGCGCGAGAGCGAGGCGAGCACGCGAGCGAAGCGAACGGGCTGGAGCGAGCGCGGAGCGTCTATTTTCTTCTTCCCCCACCCTACCCCTTGACGCTGGCGGTCAATAAATCCCCCGCGGTTTATCTTTTATCACGCGTGCTCGACGGACTTTGAAGAGAAAATAGAGGGTCTGTCAGGGGCACCCAACGAGAATATAGTTCAAAACCACTTAAACATAGCATTGTTAAATGTATTTTAGTATTTAAACGGTACATATAGGCATATTTTTATCCCCCAAAAATTTTTCATCTGTTCGGATTACCTAGCTGAAAGTCTAGTGATCCGAAAATTATAAGGATCAAAACTTGCCTTTTCGAAAATTTCAGCCACAAAAAAGGCTCCCGAAAATTCTAGGTGACCTTTTTAGGGTAAAAAAAATCCGTTAAAAATGGGCAATTATACCATTTACATATATCATCTTGCAACATCTATGACAGACATATTCGCAAGCTCCTCACTAAAAACTAAAGCACTACTACTAGGAAATATAAAAATAAAAATACAATAAATCGAAAGGGGTAAACATCACAATGAAAAAATGTAGTCAGAGATGGTGGCTTTAAATTTTGAAGTTGAATCCATTGTTAAATAATCAGATGGCAGGCTATTCCAGTCAATGATGGTTCTCGGCCAGAAGCTGTATTTGTACGTGTCACAGGATGGCTGAAGTGGGATAAATTTCAGTGGATGAGATGCTCTGGTTTTTAGGGAAGACTGATGATGTACATAGCTGGGGGTATCAATAGCGGCTTGGTTGGTAACACATTTGTACATCAGTGTTAGCCTCGCTACTTGTCTTCTCTTTTCGACAGTTGGCCAATTTAGTAGCTTTAGGGCGTTGGTTACGCATCCCGCCCCCCTCGTGTAAGTTCTTGTTACGAAGCGTGTTGCCCTGCGCTGGACCTCTTCAAGCCATGATTTCTGATATGCTCTATAAGGGTCCCAAACAGTACAACCATATTCCAACCTTGGTCTCACTAGCGATTTGTAGGCCTGATCTTTAACTTTCTGTGAGCAATGATGCAAGTTCCTCTTGACAAAGCCAAGTGTCGAATTGACTTTGTTTGTAATGTTTAGGATATGTGGCTTCCAGTTTAGATTCTCTGACAGAGAAACTCCCAGGTAAGGATAGTGGTCTACAGCCTGTAGGGTATGGCCAAGCATAGTGTATGGGTGTATAAAGGGACACTTGGTTCTGCAAACGCGTAGAACGTAACACTTCAATGGATTGAAGGCCATTTGCCACAACTTTGCCCATTCAACTAATTTGTCCAGATCAGATTGAGAAATTGATGGCATCGTCGGAATA